GAATAATGAATTTGATTTCAAATCTCTTTAATGAAAAAAAAAATGATCTATGCAACCCAAAAATATTTGGGTTAGGCTTGGTTTGGTCTATTAATTTTGGGCCTAATTGGGCTAGCATTTTTTCATGACAAAATATTGATTAAATTAAAATTTTAGCATATAACAAAGTTTCAAACAAAGACTGGCGCAAGAATTTCAATAAAAAAAAATGGGATGAATGTCAAAAGCCTAAAACATTTGTCATTTGAGAACTCAAAAAAATACTATAGCCGTATAGCATACTACAATATTTTTTTAAAAACAACAATATTACAAAAAAATTTATAATGAGAACGAACTAATTATTAAAAAAGAAGAAGAACGAACTAATAAATTTTATGCATAGAAAGTATCAGTATTTATAAGCTTCGTACATTATAGAATACCAGTACTCCAATTTACGTTATTCCTATCAATAAATTTTTTAATAAGTGACTTTTTCTCCATTTTCCTAACAGCCTATCGCATATTCACACATTATTAGGCAACAACACTTTCAAAACCCATGCAAAGCACGGTATTGCTAAAAGCTAAAAATGTCGTAGTCTTTTATTTTTTTTCCCCAAAAAAAAAAATGCTGGAGTCGGCCGCTTGCAGATATGTATGGAGGAGAAAATAGAGACAGGCAATGTAGGGTGGGGAAAAAAAAATCTAGATCCAAGTCTTTTGGCAGCCAATGGAAAAAAGATAAAGCTTTCTAAAAAAAATACTTCCTATAATTGCTTCTGAAAGCCAAGCAACCAATTTAGAAAGTCTAAAATAAAATAAAAAATTATTCACGAAAATGCCATATTAATTCTTTTTTTTTTAATAAAACTACTTCTCCAGCTTTAATGTAAGAACGATTTAGTTAATTTGAGTAGATTAAAGATGTTAATATAATATACTTTTATAAAACACCCTAAGTATTTTTGTTAATTTTTTCTTCCTCTTCTGCTTAATTATTATTAGTGAAATATCAGTAGGTGAATTTAAAAAATTGATAAATACGTTAAATGTGTCTTATATATAAGACTAATATCAACTCCTTTATTAATTCCTACATTAAGGATAAGAAGAGTAGTTTAAAATATGGATGCTAAAATTGTTCTTTTTGTAGCAGTAACAATTTTTTTTTTTTTTGTTACAAGAGGACAGGATCAAACTCGCAGCACACACCACTCGACCAAAACAACTTAAATATATTCCTTTATCTGATGTTGTATACAACTTGTGAGCTTAACAAATAAATAATAATTTATATTTGATTCAGCTTATTTAAATTTTTTAAAATTAAAACTGAACCGAACCAAACAGAGCTTAAGAAAAACAATATAATGAAGTTTGATAATTAGATGCCTAGATGGAATCCAATGCCACTTGTTTCTTTGGTTTCTGGACCACAAAATACCCAACCTTACCAAGAATGTCGCTATTACCTCCTAAATCATTGTGTCAGATGGGGAAAAAAACAAACGAGTTAAAAGAGCAATTTTTCCTGGACGTGTGAAGTGTGCTAGGACTAATTACAAGTTGATGTTATCCGGATTCAATCAATTTTAAAATATTTGAATTTGAATTTGAAATTGAAATGTCATGCTATATCAAATCAATCAAATTTAATTAAAAATCCAGAACATGCAAGAAAGAAATCACATGGCGATTTTAATTTTCCATCAATGAAAGCACACAGCAAGTGCCAAGTCAGAAATGGACAACGCCATGCTCAAATCAAATTAAGAGAAAACAAAAATGTCAATGCTGTGAATGTGAAGTTGCCATATTTCGTACGCAAAAAACGTAATATATATAATTCCATATCAGAAGAAAAATAAAAAGTGACTTTCTATTTTTCTTCTTCTAATGTACACAAAAGACGATGTTAATTAAGATTAAGAGATTATCTTTGCTTTGATCACGTTTTCCCCTGAAAATTCAGCGAGGGACCCATCTCATAGGCTATCATACGAAGCACATGCAATAAAAATATACAATATTATTTAACGTTCACTTTTGTCAATCATTGTGAAGCCCCCTCCAGCATTTTAGAATATTTTTTATATACATCTAATATTACTTCTAATCATTAATACTTTAGTTTTTAGTTTAATCTTAAATACAAATTTTAATTTATTTTATTTCTGATATTTATTTATTTTTAAAATAGTTCTTATAGTAGTTGCGTAGATTAAAAGTTCAATAAAATAATAATTTTAACTAATACATGATTAATAATAATATTTTATAAAAAATAACACTCGATTATTATGAATAACTAACGCAACAAACTTTTTGAATATACTCAAATTAGTTAACTAATTATTATATTAAGCACTGACAGTAACATTTCATAAAGTATTTTTTAGTGCAGTTTTGTATTTAATAATTTAAGTATTTTTCCTGTTCTAAATATGAGAGTAATTTAAAAAGTTAGACGCATATAAAAAATATTTTAAAATATTAAATATATTAAAATATGATTTAATATGCTAAATACGCTTAAAAAAATTTTAAAGTATTAGATAGACTTTAACTTTTAATCAGTTCTCTCCATGCAAACCATAGTGAAATCTGTAAATAAAATATGTTCATTATTGTACGGATCGATATGAACGATGCTTTGTGGCTTTGTGTGGTGCATATTAGTGGAGGTCGTTTTAACCCGACCAACAAAAGTAAATGACTGAAAAGCGTCGAAAAGCAAACCTTATTTTTTCAATATTTATAACCAAGTGGTATTTTAATACACAATCATTTTTTTTTTAAGAGAGAGAAAAAAAATCACTTCCCAGTTCATCTTACTTCTCATATTTATCATTTGTTTTCAAACTAATTTACATAACTTATAAATTAATATATAATCTAATGTTAAGTATAAATATTTTTAAAAGCTGGCCAAAAAACATAAATATTTTTTTAAAAATTAGATCACATTTATTATAATAATTTATTTATTTATTTAACTATTTCAATCTACCTGAATTTGCTAAGTGGCTTTTATATCAAGGATGGGAAGAATAGTATATTAAACTCATGGAAAATTACTAACTTGCTGGTTTTTTTTATAAAAAAAATAATTCCCTATAAACAATAAAAAATAAATTCTCAAGTGTTATATGGTGAGAATTATTTCCTAAAATGCTACACCCAAACTTATTTATCCTTTAAATGAGTTTTTAAATCAATGCAACCAAGCCTGATTTTTCCAATAATATTGTGTGGCATCTGTCCAATAAAAATTCATCTTAGAATAAACAACTTCTAAACTTTACTATCCCTTTTAACAATTTCGTTAAAATTCTCCACCTCATCCATCTCGCCCATAATGAAATGATTTTGATAGTGATTTGAATGAAGAATTACGAGTAAATAATTGGAGAGTGCATATGTTAGTAATTACATGATAATACTAGTAATATTTTTTAAAAGCCATTAAAAAAAATTAATAGTAACTAATGATTAACCTAATTATGAATGAAAAGGAGAATTAATCTATTGTATTACGAATAATGACTCTCAATACTACATCTTGTTCTTCTTCTCATATATTATGGTTGTTATTGTATGTTGAATTTTTCTCAAGATTAATCAGTCCTCTTATTTATCCATGCAATTGGAGTAGTATTTAAATATTTATAATTATACTTTCGTAGAAAATTAACGAGAATATAACAAAGAACAGTAATGAGAGCACATGAAAATTTAGTATGCGTTTAGTTTGCAAAGATTCGTTTCATTCTAGAGATTCTGCGCGAATTTTCTAGAACACAAACACACACACACACACACACTAGTAATACTTTGAATTCGGACGTGATTATCAGTATTTTAGAGAGTACATGGCTTAATTAATTAAGAAGATTCAGAAAAAAACACAAAACGCTTGGTGGTCCCAAATGGGAATATTGACAATGGTGTGTCCACTGTCCACCAATGGGCGTGAGACGATAATGTATAACTGCGGCACCACAAAGCCACCTCCATCCCAACTGCTCACGGCGCCGGAATCTCTCTCATCCCTTTTCCCCTCCTAGCCGTCATAGCCACAGGACCACCCTTCCTTCTTTTCAATTTTTATTAAGCACTGTACATGCATGTCTTGAAAAATTTTATGCACTCTCCATCTTTATATCACATTCTTATTTATCCCTCTCAATTTTAATTCTTATAGCCAACCAGAGTTGATTTAATTGGTAGAGAATCGACTCATAATTTACAAAATAATGATGAATGATAATAATAATAATAATAAGGTATCCTTATATTACCTCCGGTCCTTAATATAACAGTTAGTTTGACTTTCAATTTGGTCTTAAATATAAGATCCTAATTCACTTTGTCTCTCATATTTATTAATTTTTTTTCAAAGTAGTCCTTGTAGTAGTTCTACATGTTAAATATTCCATCAAATAATAGCTCTAACTAATATACATGATTAGTAAGGGTATTTTAGAAAAGATAACACATTTATTATTAAAGATATTTTAGAAAAAATAACGTATATTTATTACAAATAACTAACTTAATAGATTTTTTAAATCTATTTAAATTAGTCAACTAGCTCTTATATTAAAGACAGAAGATAATATTATTTTTGTATTTCTCTGAACCAACCAATTTGTCTCACTATCCGTTCAGGTACGTATCCTTCTCATCTACTTATTATTTTATATTATATCCTTAGATTACAAGTTTCAAACAAAACGCTTCTTGATCATATGCCTATTTGCAAGAATAAAATAATATATATACACATAATATAATATTATATATATGCATGTACACACAAAAGAAATTAACGTGTAGTCAACATAATAAAATTATGAAACTCCCCTTTCTCTTTTTTCTTTCTGCAGAAAAGAATGCGACCTACCCCACTGCTCTTCTTTAATGTATTTCTCTGTCTCTGTGAGTGAAAGTTGCTTACCATTCACACACCAATATGTTAGTAAATATACCACAAAATACACGTTTTATTTCACGTCCATTTCATTCCAACCTTTCCCTTCCATTTAACATCCCACCCTCCTCTCACCCCTTTCTATCCATCACTGACTTCAACTTAATATTCACCAACCAGCTTGCTTCATCACATATTGGATCACATATGAAACCTATCGACCTTCGAGAGCTAGCTAGCCTTAAGTATAGACAGTACTGTTTATAGTTGGAGGAGTAGTAGTAATTATAACCCATATCGATCTCAACTTACAACAATGTCGCAAAATAGCCCACAGGATTGGCCCGAGCCAATCGTTCGCGTTCAGTCCTTATCCGATACGTGCTTCGATTCAATCCCTGATAGATACATCAAGCCTCCTTCTGATAGGCCTTCTTTTTCCCCTTCTTCTCTGTCCAACATCCCCATCATCGACCTCCGGTCTCTCTACGGCGACGACCCCGACGCTCGAGCCTCCACGCTGGGCCAAATCTCTCAGGCCTGCCGCGACTGGGGGTTCTTCCAGATTGTGAACCATGGGGTTAGCCCTGAGCTCATGGACAAGGCTCGAGAGACGTGGCGCCAGTTCTTTCATCTTCCCATGGAGATTAAGCAGCAATATGGTAACTCGCCCAAGACTTACGAGGGATATGGAAGCAGGCTCGGAGTTGAAAAGGGAGCTATTCTGGATTGGAGCGATTATTATTTCCTTCACTACCTTCCCTTAGCGCTTAAGGATTATAACAAGTGGCCTGCTCTGCCTCCTTCTTGCAGGTAACTTTAGGAGGCAACGATATGATCAGAATAATCAGTACTTGTGTCTGTAAATTAAATATACTAGAGGACGATGACGTGTTTTAATTTCCACGGCGGTGCAGGGAAGTGTTTGATGAGTATGGGAGGGAAGTGGTGAAGCTGTGTGAGAGGTTGATGAAGGTTCTGTCGGTCAACCTTGGGTTGGAGGAGGATTTTCTGCAGAATGCTTTCGGGGGATACGACGTAGGAGCGTGTCTGAGGGTCAATTTCTACCCAAGATGTCCCAAGCCGGACCTCACCCTCGGCCTCTCCTCTCACTCCGATCCCGGAGGAATGACTCTGCTGCTGCCAGACGCCGAGGTTCCCGGCCTTCAAGTTCGCAAATCCGACGCATGGATCACCGTCAAGCCTGCTCCTCACGCCTTTATCGTCAATATTGGCGACCAAATACAGGTATGCCCCGCATCACATTTTTACTGCACAAAAACAGAAAGATCCACTCCTTTTTGTCGTTTGGATTTATGAGAATGTGAGCTCGTGAGGGGTAATAGAAGAGTTACTTTAACAGACACGGCGAAGCGAAAAATAAATAAAACCAATTAATGGGAAAAAGCTCGACCTGGTCAAAGTACAATACCAAGCTATTTTATCTGGATAGATATATTGAATTGAACGTTTGGTGAGGATTCATGGCGTAAGTACATCTCACTCGTCACATGGAGGGGACACAATGTGGAGGGGTCAACGTTCTGATATCCACTTATTGGCTTGCTTCTCGTCAAAGTTTATTTGTTGGATCAATTTATGTAGCTAGCCTCTCCATGAAGTCGCATTTGCACATGTTAAATATATCGGACAACATTAATTACTTTCTCAGATTATCTGACGTAAATTAAGCATGTTTTTCTGATAAGATGAGAATACCAATGTTTCTGTAGTTGATTAGTCTGCTTACACCTGGAGGCATGTCGGTATATTATTAGAATGTTTTAAAGTAGACAAATCAGCCCACACAAGCGGAAAAAAGGAGATATATACACATTCTTTTTCCTAGGAGGATAACATTGTAGGCTCGACACTTTCCATAAGAATAGGTCCCATCACATCATTATTCATAGTTTTATATTGGATAATAATGAGCGTTTGCTTTTTTGGTTTGTGCTGGAAAATTTTGCTGCAGGTTCTGAGCAATGCGATATACAAGAGCGTGGAACACAGAGTGATTGTGAATTCAGACAAGGAGAGGGTGTCGCTGGCGTTCTTCTACAACCCGAAGAGCGACATACCGATAGAGCCGGCGAAGGAGCTGGTGACGCCGGAGCAACCGCCGCTCTACCAGCCGATGACCTTCGATGAGTACAGACTATTCATCAGGTTGATGGGACCTCGTGGAAAATCTCATGTTGATTCCTTAAAATCACCGAGGTGATTAATAATCATAATCATAATGATTATGCTTCTTAAATATTCTAGATCCCATCTCAAGCGAAAGTCCCTTGCATTTTGTATTAATTCACCCACAGTGATATTTTTCTTTGATCATAAAATGCACATAATTAAGGTTAGCAGAATATTATTCACAGGTCATATTTAATTTAGATTTTATTTTCAAGTGCAGTCTCTTCTTTTCCGCTCTGGTTTGTACAGGGAAGAATTTAATTATATGGACACCGCCTATTATTTTAATAAAGGTATCGTGGTTTTTTGTCCCCACACAGCTCTAACGCATGGTTATATATATAATTTCCTGTTAATTAAACATGGCAATTAGCTTTATATATTGCTCTTGCAGGTTCAAAGAACAACTAATTATATGGCATTAAAATTGATGATGGATCATCACGGGCATGAGTAACAAAAATTATTATGATTATGACATATAAGAATTAAATCCAAATTACAAATCAATCTCCAACAAACAGCTCATTACCAAACAGCACAACAATTTCACAATAGAATGACGTTTGAATCCCTCTATAATTTCAAAGGATCAAAGTGCCAATAATTTCTTTATACAGACACAAATTTTACCCTCCCAAGGGAGAGAGAGAACATTTTTTGGGTCAAAAGTATATCATATTTCTCAAGGGTGTGAGTGTGTGAACACACACACACATTGACACATATATATCATATTTTATTATGTGATTAATCAATCATCATCTGCAGTATCGAACTCAATAAATATTACGAAAAGTCACGATCTGGAGGATAAGCATGCAATATATGTATTTGTATGGTGTATATATGAATAGGATTATATTTCTCCGATCCTATTTATAAGTCACTTCTAATATGTTTCACATAGATTAATAAAAAACTTAAACTTCATTAACTTACATTTAAAATTCAATAACTTTTTAACTTTGTTCATATTTAATATATAATATATTTCGTGAGAATAAAGTGAACATAATAATAAATAAAAGGTAAAATTGTACACTCATATAAAATTTTTCTCTATCTATCCTATAAATAAAATCAAAAATTTTCTTCTCTCCGTCCTATAAAAATGATCAGAAAAGTATTATTGAAAAGTGAAGTGTATACCTGTCGAAACAAGTGTGCGTTGATGACATATTTATAATTTATAAACAATAATCATGGTTTAACTAAGTCAATAATATCAACTGTTCATTAGGATTTGTTAATAAGAGAGAGAAAGGAAAAAAGATTGATGTCAGTATTAATTAAATAACATGCATGTTCAATCAAAGGATCATTTAATTAATAATTTCATTATATCACGCACGTGACTGTTACTGTGCGGCTTTTAATTAGTGACTTGTCCTCCAAATTAATTCAAAAGGCAAAGGCAAATCACTAGCTCTTGTCTCGTAGTGGAAGTTGTGAGTCACATTACAACTAATTCAGAGCTTACTAGTATTTATTAATTGGATAGGCATTTGAATTGCTCAATAATTGACACGTATGGTAGTTTAGTTGGTTTGAAACTCTTCTTTATTCAAATTTCCGGCGACATCTGAATCTGAATGGTAGTTTGACGTCGTAATCACAATCACATAACATGAGTATAATAAATAATCCAACGTACGTAATTAAAGCAAATTTTTACATTAATATTTGTTTGTTTGCTTTTTTTTTTTTATAATTTGTGGATGTGGATAGGCTCCACTTGTATGAACAGTTTTTAAAAAAGAATTAAAAATAAAAAGACATATGAAATTGAAAGGCGTGGTGATGGGGATGGGATAGCGATGTTGGTGGAATGAGATTTATAATTGGAAAAGCTATGAATGTAAATATGAAAGGTGAAGGTTATGAAGTAGAAAGGGGTGATGCTTGTCGTTTGATGGGAGATTTGCCAGTGAGACCTGAAAAGAGCCCTATGAATAATCTATATTCACAAAAAAAAAAAAATGTAGAGCCTTCTGATATTATCACTCCCTGATTGAGACGTTGATTCACAAAGCCTAATTTCTGTTATTGTCTATATGTGAAATTAATTAAACCTCCCCCCCCCCCCCAAAAAAAAACCATGCTCTTGTCTAATTCATTGTGTGTGTGAGAGAGGTATGGTATTTCGGGATCATATTTAAGCTTTGTTAGGCCTAATAGCTAAGGTTAGGCATTCACTAATTTAATTTTTTTAAGTTTAAAAACATATCACATAAAGTGAATATTGTTATAATAGTTGTCAATCGCGTTATCAATATTAAAAAAATTGAATAAAAAAGATTAAAAGTTGAATAAAAAAGATTGTGGCCCACTAGAGTTAGAACTGTAACACCAATATTTATCGGTCTATGAAGATGACTTGAGGTTTCTTTTTTCAAAATTAAAGAATAATATTATTAATTTATCAACATTTTAAAATTTTAATTTTGTCATTATGACTGATTTAAAACTTTGCAAATTTAGGTGACCTTTTCAAATTTTGAAAATTCAACTATAATTTTTTTTTTTTGAAAATTTTCCTAATCTGGATAATATGTTTCTATAGTTATTCATCATTGGGTTTTTTCTCTTATTTGTTTAATTGTTTGGGAGGATTGTAACGAGGCCCTAAGAAAAGAAAGTAATTACTAGTAAGTTTTAATAACAAGTAAGGAGTATATTGCACGCTGTTTTGTTGTTATTAACATTTTTTAATAATTATATTTCTTATTTACAATTTCATTGCAGTTATCCCTAACTGTTTTGTATAGATTTTCCTAATTGTTTTGTGTATATGTGTGTGCATACGCACACCCCTCTTCTATCTATTCATATATAAAAATCTTTTTATGGGCTAAGAAAAGTAATTAAACTTAGTCAAATACTACCTCTAATTCTTAATACTATTTTTTATCTTTAATATAAGATCTCATTTGAATTTTATTCTAGTTCTAAATATGAAATTCCAATCTATTTTATCTCTTATATTTATTCATTTTTTTCAAAATAGTCCTTCTAATAATGATAGTTCTAGTTAATAAACTTGATTAGCAAGGATATTTTAGGAAAGACAATACTTATTTATTACAAATAACTAACTTAACCTATTTCTTTAATTTACTCAAATTAGTCAACTAGTTTTTATATTCAGGATCACAGGTAGTATAGGAATTAGTTTGACTTTTAGTTTGATGTTAAATATAAGATATCAATATACTTTGTCTCTTATATTTATTTATTTGTTTAAAGATAGTCCTTATAGTAGTTATACATGTTAAATATTTCATCAAATGTTAAAACTAATATATTTGGCAAGGATATTAAAAAGATCACATCTATTTATTATAAATAATTAATATAACTAATTTTTTTAAGTTATTTAAATTAGTTAATGAGCTCTTATATTAAGTATCACACGACATCTTATAAATAGGATTAGAGACAAGATGGGATGTGACTCATAAGTGTTTGGAAACATCCAAAAATACTTTTATTTATCTTTTTTTTTTAAATTGAGGCAAACTACTTCATGTTTTATTTTGTATACTTTAAAATCTCTTTTAAAGGCAGATCACCGGAAAGATGAGTGGCGTGAAAGGGATGAAGTCGGAAGACGCATTTCAAAAGAGTGATGGGAATTGAATTGGCATTGTGTTGTGTGGAACACGCAGAGTCCAAGGACACGTGCGCTGATTGTGGAATTATAATTATCACGTTTTTAATTTCTTTCTAATTCCTTCCAATTTTTATTGCCCAGCCTGTCACTGCCCATCACCCCAGCGTCGGCACCCCCAGATATATCACACCGACCCCATCTCTTACCACAATTCCACAAACACCCACTCTTACGCCACTCTGTTTTTTTATTTTCTGGGGGAAAAAATCATTCTTTCCACAGAAATATCTCCAATCGTTGATATATACACGCGCATGTAAAGGGCATAGCAAGATTTGACCCACCAGATTTTTATAAGCCAAATAATTAAGTTTATGGGACAATATAAGGAAAAAAAAAGTTTAAAATTACTAAAGATCAAGTCAAATTTGAATATAACAATTTAATAAGTTTTGATAATACTGAATTTGTAAATAACAATATATTTTTATGAGAATTACTTATTATTACGGACGACCCCGTTATCCATCGGTTATGGGTGGTACATTCAATTTTTCAAAGCTTAATCACTGTTGATCTGATGTTAATCAAAATTCAGAGAAAAGAACCTGACAAGACCAGTACGTTGTTTCATATTTGCTTGTTAGGGTGCTGTTCAATAAAAAACATAACGTCATTAGCTGGCTTTTCCACTTTTGAGATACACAGAGAGAGAGAGATGCCTATCATGATTCTTGAATTTATCTTTGTTGGATAACCTATGGGGAATTTGGAATGCAAGGACCGGTTGTTTTCATGAGCTGATCAGCCATGTCCCACCGCGATTCTTTCACCAGTAAAGGTAATTCCATTCAATCCAATGCTTTTGATTGAGATGTCAAGTCCCTCTTTCCACTGCAACATAATTGAATGGTGGCTAAGAATCCCTTCATTCACAAGTCTTTCAAATTCAATTGTCTCAGATTCTTGTGGTTCAATCCATTGTTTCTGCTCTGGGCTAATCTTCTGCATAGGATGCAGAGAAGTGGAGCTCCAAGCGTGAGCCTGCATTCCATAACAAGAGATTAATCGTGTTTCAGTCGAAATTGCAAGGCATAATATGTTAAATTCGTCAGTCTTTACACGGTCCTTCTGCTTAATATCATGAGGATGAACACCCCCTGCTCCCCACAAGGGGGGAGGGGTTGGATGATACGCAGAGCATAAATAATTTTTTTGTATATATACCCTACATTAGGAACTACCAAGCAAGAGTAGTGGAAAGCATGAATTAATATGACGGAAAGATTTAATACAATTAATAAGAATATAACTCCAATGTTTTAGCTAATATTTAACCACTTTTCTTAGTATGTATAAATTTGAAGGTAACTGAAGGAAGATATACGAATAACCAATACTAAATCCCAAAGAAGAGTGGCATATACTCCTTACATTTTGGTTAATAATGGAGTAACAGTAGCAAGAAAGTCCTGATTTCATCCGTGTTTTTTTTGTATGAAAAAGTTTAGTTGAGTTAGGTCTTGAGAACTCATCAGGGTTAAGACATATTTCCATGTTCAAAAAGCGCTTATAGAAATACTTACAGATCACCTACCAACCAGATCCTTACATTGGTAGCAGGATTCAAACTCATGGTCTTGTGGGTTATGTGTCAACTTCTTACCAACTGAATCAACTCTTATTGGTAATTTCATTCCTGTTGTTCTAACTAAGTGAGACACAAAACCATAAGGCCATTGAGAGCACCCAGCAATCACTATGAACAGTACCCAATGAAAGCCATCCTCTATGATTCATCCCATGATTCATTTGGAAGTCCATGCAAAGCACAAGCTTCCCTTTTTCTGCTGGGAAGTAAATATTCCATCTTGTAATCATGCAGTCAGTTAACATCGGAGGACAGTACAAAGAATTTTTCGGTGCTTTACTATGGTCCGCACCTTCAATGCTCAGACTAGGGGACCCTAAACACCGAGAGATTCGTTAGAGCATATTTACTGGTTTTGAGACGAAACAAATAGGTTGAATTTAAATTTTTAAAAAAAAACAATTGATTAAATGCCACCTGCTGACCTGGATCATGAACTTTTCCTTTTGACATCATCCAGAACATAGATTATGAACTTCCAGGAGTGCATCGAAGTTGTTGACATCTGAAAACAAGAAGCTAAGCCATGCATTAAGATTAAAATAAATGAGCACATAAGCAATGAAAGTTATGGTTTTAAGAGAAAAGGAGAAGGTTACCGTAAGTGAGGGTACCTGGTCAAGTCCTTAACCATCTTTTTTATCATTGAGTGGGCTCGGACTAGCGGATGCCATGCCCGGATCCCTTCAGAGCTCAGGCTCAATTGCAGGTTGAGCAGGTCAAATACGGACACCACTAGATCTCCGCATCTCACTCAGTCCCTGTTATTGATGCCTATGCTGTTTCTTGGCATAAGGATTTCTTTACTTCCTCTTCTCTTTTATATCTAGTTTTTTGGTCGAAACAATTAGACCGCTTTTGGGCTCGAATATATTAGAAATTGGAAAATAATAGAAATTCCCACAATTACTGCAACATCCACATCTCGAGGGCCTTACTCGAGGGAGAGAAGAAAGCTACATATGTTGATTAAATAATTTGCAGCAAACGTATGAACCAATGATTTTGTTTTTCCCTTTTTTAACATACAAGGAAAAAGAAAATGCCTGACTGACGAAATATGTCATAAACTGTTGCCAAAGCCACCTTCTAAATACTTTCTCCTTTCTTGGTGCCATTTGGTGAAATTTCAATATTTCATATAACGAAATGTAAAACTAGAAAGCTCTGTTGATCAAACACCAGTTTATTTATTAATAATACATCAAGCAACCCCAGCTAATTTTGATTTTAAAACTAATATGCAAGGGTAATCACGCAAGCACTAGCTGTAGATTACATATCATACAATCTTAACCTAGACAAAGAAACCCAAATAAAACAATGGGGATTGGAAGCCTAAAATAGGTGCACTATACGCTAAATTATACATTAAAATATGAAAGAACAGCTTCTTGGACGGGCTCAGTCTACGATTATCCTTGGTGGAAGAAGGCTCACACCAGGAGCCTGCTCCTGACATGTAGCAAGTTTCACAATAGAACGAGCAGAGAGGCTGTACCTTTGCTGTATCTCTGTAAATCCTCCAGTGAGAACTTGCTCCACCCAATCCTCAACTTCCATGTCCCGTTCTGAGACATATGCAGCTGCAAGTAACTGTTCCATGACTTCTGACTCTATCTGTAGTGAGCACTCAGATCCGAGAATGCTGTGGAAGCTCCTTCTGATAATGTTTAAGACCCTATCTGCAAGTGCATCAAAATTATATGGTTTCAAGATGATTGTTTCATCAACCTGATTATACAGTTCTTGCAACCAGGGGTTTAGCGTGGCAGTTGAGACACCTTCAGGTTTTCCATCATCCGTGAATTGCAGTTCGTTCTCTTCTGCTGGGGCATTCAAATCTAGAAAACAGTTTGAAATTTTGTGAGCCCTTTTAGCCATTTCTGAGGTTTTGTGCTGATCATTAAGGGCATTGTCGCAACTCAGCTTTCTTTTATTTACAGGGATTGGATTGGGAACGCCATCTGTTGAACATTTAAGTACAGTAAGGCTTGGGCTTCTGGTGTCTCCAATTACATGTTCAACTTTTATCTTGATAGGTGCCCCTTTTGTTCTTGATATTCTTTCCTCAGAATAGCCTGAGAATTCTGTCTTTGGCCTGCAATTCCATTGATCTTCTTGAACTGAGAAAGATGTCACAATTATCGCATTGTTTGCACCAACTTCTCTCCCACACGAGTCTATAATTTTTCCAGTCTTGATGGCTTGAGATAAACTATTTTGAACCATCATATCAGCCATGTCTACATTGTCAAGGAAAACAACAGACAACGGATTTTTGCACAACTCCCCAACTAAAACATCGAGAATAGTCTTTCCTCTAAATTTCGCATCATGTCCATTTATTTCCTCACGATTGAGATCAACAAAAATAAAGCTTTCCTGGCTTCCATACAAAATCTCAGCCAAAGAAACAGCAATTTTCTTTTTACCAATCCTGTCAGTTCCTACAAAATTCATCCATATGGCCCCTCGTTGATTTGCTCCTAGGCATTTGCCCCTGCTTGTTTCACTGTAAGCTATTGCTTTTACAATGCTTTGTAAGGCTTCAACCTGCCAGGTAACCTTTTTGGCAAGAGCTTCAAGAAGAATTTTAGGATTTATTAGATCATGTCGTCCAGAATGGTCAGAACTTAAGCAGGATGAAGACTGGGCTGGATGCTTAAAGACATCCCTGTTAACTAAATTATAGCTTGAAGAGAGGGGACTCGCAATTTCCTTTAGACCCCCCATGGTTGGGTTTTTAGATTTGTTGCTTGTAGGAGAAAAGGAAATTCCTATACCTAGATCTGTGGTTACAGAAGTCACAGACGAGGGAGACAATTGGCCACCATCACACATGCTTGAATTGGACATGTTGCATGATCCTAGGTCACCTGAGTCAAGATCTTTCGTTTTCTGGAGTATCTCTACGGCTTTTGCAATAGGGTTATCCTGATCTGATTTCGAAACCACAGGAACAGGACTACTTGAATGTGTTGTAGAAATCATCTGCTCTGCGATGGGCGCACTCGAATTGAGATCGATGTACACGCTAGGTGATGCATCTGAAATTTTTCTGCTGTGATTGTCAACATCTTCCTTTTCACCATCAGAGCATCGGGAACTCATGACAGTTTGACAAGGAATCGCTTCAGGGAATTGCTGAGTATCATGCAGATGCTGGCTTGGCTTGTCCAATTTCTTGATAGGTCCAGATTCACTAGTATCCAGCCGAACACTGTCTTCTTTTGTCTGCACTGAACAGAAGAAAAGTGATTTTCACACCAAAAAAAAGAAGCAGAATTGTAATTGTCATTTTTTTTTATCCTACAATTTCTCGTATTGCACCTTTGGAACAAAAACAAAGGTTCAACAACCTGACATTAATCTGACATGACTCGGCTTGCCAAGTCAATCATCAAAAAGGGATGTTAACTATGTTCTTAAGGTCTTTAAGATACAGATTACAAGCATATCTTGTAGCCTCAGAAAAAGTTCGTCTTTTAATCAAAATGGACACTCAAGAAAGTTATCGAACATGGTCTCTAGATGAATGACATATTTGAAGAGTGAGTATGCATCTAGCAAAACGCAATGGCAAGATGCGATCCATAACAGGATAAAACTTCTTGTAAAAAGATTTGTCTTTTCTAGAATCACACAATCCTTAGTGTCTGCTACAACTGTGCAAAGTACAAGCAAGTTTTAAGGTGGCAGGGGAAGTAAAGAGAAAGAAATGATAACCAGAAAGTCCAAATAAATCTATTCAAGACAATAAAAATTGGTCCATTACCTCAACTAAGCTTTTCATTGAACTAGGTAGGAGGCACTTGGTATTTTTTTTAACCTTAGATACTCCTCCGGTCCTAAATATAAGACCCTTATATACTCTATAAGGGTCTTATATTTAGGACCGGAGGAGTACTATGATATCTTGCGTATTATGGTATGACATGGCATGGTATAAGATATCATGGAATTCATAATACATGTGTATAGTATGACAATTAGTAGCATCTTATATGTGGGGATCTAAGGATGTCTGGTTCTATGTGTTAATCAGTATTTCTTCCTCCCCGAATCTTCAAAATTCAAGTATTTCATTAAAATATTTATGTATTATTTTTCACACAATATATTTTATAAACAAAATAGACATAACACTCTTTTTGCTGAAATGTGAGCAGGGTATTATCTCATATGCCACCTTGCTATAACATAACTGCAAACCAAAATATTGTCATCAAATTCTAATATCCAATATATTATGATACGTGAGATCACAGGACCAAGATCCAAGATCCTTGGTTATTTCTTCTTCTTCCCTTTCTGTCGGTTGGAGAGTGCCTTGGAAAAAAAAAAAAAACCAGAAAAAGCTCATGAGTGCTACATACCTTACCATTCAACCCTTTTGTTATGCCAAGGTCAGCAGTCCCTAACCATGGAGGTAAATTAGATTGGTAAGGATCAGCAGACAGCCTCTCATTTGAAGCTGGAAGCACTTCTTGCACACAACTTCCACCACATTGCAGGCAACGGGGAACACAATAATATGAGCCGTGTAGCGGACCTTTCAAATTAGAAGGTGAAGAAAACAAGCCGCCAAATGGGACAAATGAATCCATTAAGCTGAAATAACATGATCAAAAAAGCATCTCAGGCAAGATTTATGCAAAACATTTTACTCTGAGAAAGAAGCAAAAGTTTACAGCACAGGTTATCTTTTCAATAGACAGGGATGACAACCTTTCTAACCGTAAACATATTAGTTATCGGAAACCAAAATACCCTTAGTTCTCATAAAAGGTCTATTCAATAGCAATGCAACAATTATCATTGATTTTACTAATTAGTACCTCTGGTTTTTAATACTAAACCCAGTTGATTTATTTGGGAAGATTAAATAAATTACTAAATTATTTTAAAATGTTTATATTTGTCATTTTTCTCCATTAATTTGATTCATTTATAAAATGATATAATACCTCAAGTCCTAATTATAAGACCTCGTTTGTAGACTACAAACGAGGTCTTATAATTAGGACCAAAGGTAGTATAATATAATAATATACATAAGTATTTTAAAAAGATCATATAACATGTGTTATAATTAAGTAATTTAGTAACTTTCTTAATCTCTCCAAATTAGTCAACTAGGTTTTATATTAAATACAAGAGGTAGCAATATTCTAACAACTTAAAAGCGTAGTGTGAAATGAGTAGCAATCCATTAAGCACGAAGGTAACTCGTCAAGGAACAAAGTTGAGGTATTTTGTATTATTTAGTACCACCTCTGGTCTCAACACGAGAGTTAGTTGATTAATTTGAGTAGATTAAGAAAATTAGTTGAGTTGGTTATTTGTAATAAATAGGTGTTGTCTTTCTTAAAATATCCTTGGTAGACAAATGTATTGGCTAGAACTACTATTATTATAAAAATTATCTTTGAAAAAAAAAATGAATAAATATGAGAAACAAAATTGATTAGGGTATTATATTTAGGACCAAAATAAAAGTTAAACAAACTTTTATATTAAAGAGCGGAGGGACTGTTTACATAATTTCAGTCACAACCTACAGAAGACGAAACTAGAAAAGCCTCTAACACAGACACACACATATTTTAAGCATATTCATGGGCAATCGATCAACTTAACAGCTAAAAGACAAACAGCACAACAGACATAAAAGACCATGTCACAAGCATCGAACCAAATACTAAAGATGAACAAATATCGAATTTCACAACTGTCGGCAAGAAAAACAAAAGAAACAGGGGTACGGCCAACAAACCAATCGGGTCACAATTTTACAGTTCACGGGGGTGATAACAGAACCAGATATAAACCTCTTTTAATTACATAAGGTCACTTACCTGTGCCTAGGCGATTCATCCTGAGGCCGAGTAGACGTGATAGGCAGAAGCTGCAAGTCCCAATCCTTCTCAATAGATGGAAACCTTCCCATAAATTTCAGATAGCTCTCATAGCTCGCCGCAGCTCCCATCAACCAAAACTTGCCATAATTAAGCTCCAACAATTTCGCTAATTCAGCAACAACATAATTCACTGCTTCATTTGAGGCATTCTCATCAACCAAAGACTTCAGGTCCCCAAAATTCGCCACCAAACCAGGTCCCACTCCCTGTTCTATCATTTGAGCAATCTCCTTAAGCCTTGAACTGAAAGTCTCGTTATCACTATTCTCAAGGACAAACTTGGAAATATCTGTTCCTATGCATGTCACGCGCAATCCGGATAACTCCACTGGCAAAATACCATCTCTTTGTTTATTAACATCTTCTGTGAAACTACGCAGAGCATCATCTGCGCATACACCCAGAAGCAGGGGATTCCTCCCTCTGCTCCTGCAAAGCAAGTCTCCGATTCTTTTGTAGTTCTCAGCGCCGCCGTCGCACGTCCCGAAAGAACCGGGAAACGGGAAACTGAAGCTCCGACGACCCGGGTCCGGATGCTCCGTCAAATTGCACAGGAATATAGGGGGAACTCTGGAGCGTGAGTACCTGAGAAGCTGCGGGAGAGGTCGAAGAATAGCAAGTTTAATTTCGGAGCTTCGAAAACCCGCTTCGCCGAATACCCGGCTCACGACGGGGTCGTCGAGAATCGATAATATCAAATGTTGAAGCTCGACCTTCACACACGAAACCGAAGTAGGCTGCTGCGAGATTTGATGGTAAATGTGGAAATTCTCAGGCTGCCTTCTCTGACTAGCCTGGGAGCGCCTGATGGCGGCCATGAGCGAGTTAGAGACTGGCGGGTCGTCAGCGAGTTGAGTCGAGGGGACCCGGTCGAGCGATACGCTCAGGCACAGCTCTAGCGCCTTGAATTGAAGCCGAGGCGAGTAGGCACAGCTCCGGGCACGAGCACACGCGTCACGTAAGGTAGACGACGGCAACGAAAGCAAGGCGGAGACAGCATGGAGCGAGGTGGTCTGGGGGTGCCCACGACGGCGCGCCACGGAGACGGCTTCTTCGAGAGCTCGAGATGCATCCGGCGTCAAGCATTGCTTGGCTACTCCGACCGGCGTAGGCATCGCCGGAGTTCAAAAACTAGTGGAAAAAACTTCGGAGTCAAAAATAAAGCGAAAAACCGGAGAAATGCCACTCAAGTTTGCTAGTTTGAAGTCAAAACAATATTTTAATGGGATTAAAAAGAAAAGGCCTTTTGTGTTGGGGAGCGAGGGCTCCAAATTTATAAACGATCATCATAGATTAGGAAGAGCAGAGAATGCAGAAATGGGTCGGCTTTTTGTGAGTGGCGGGACCTACCAGAAAAATACTGCTACCTCCTGGAACAACTCGCGATTTACCATAAAGTTATTGAAGAAGACACGTTTCTCTTGTTCATTTCATTTCATGCATCGCTATAATCATTCCATGAAAATGCTGAGATTATTACTGAAGTTGGCAAGAAGAAATATTTTTACTGAAATATTTTGATTGAAACTTAGGGGGTGTTTGGGTGTAACCAAATCATGGTTTGGAGAATAGATTCTGAGAAGAATAGATTTTTTGAAGAATAGATTTTGTAAAAAAGTGATTCTGAGAAGTAAGAGTGTTTGGATAGTTGTTACTAGAAACACTTTTTATATGTACAAATTACTAAAAAGGGCATAAGTTAATATGATAATTATATAAAAGATAGATTTTATAATATATTTTAATTTGAAAGAATAAAATTGTTAACAAAATAATTTTTACTAACATAATTAATAATATATAAGATAATATAATTAATAAATAATTAACATGTGTATATATATTTATAAATTATGAGATTAAATTTTTTTTTGTAAAAAATGAATATTTTTTACCAACAGAAAAATATTATTTTATTCTAAAAACAACAAGACACATATCCCATAAGTTTTTATACTCTTTTTTTTCCCTCTAAAAGCAAAAAATTTCTGCTTCTGCCAAAACCATGATTTTGGTTTTTTCTATGGTGTTTGGGTAATTTTTTCCCAAACCATAGTTTGGTGGGTAATCACCCAAACACCCCCTTAGTACAATTTACTTTCAAAAACATCTTGAGCCTCGTTAATTTTTTCTTAAAATTTAATAAATTTTTTACTTTTTTATTATTTAATACTCCCTCGTCCCTTTTTATCGACAATATTGGATCTCATCACATAAATCAAAATATTAGTTAAAATTAATTAAAGATAATAAATGTGTAGAAATTAGAAATTCATTTTCTAAAATACCCTTATTTATGGGGAGGAGAGAGTATAAGAAAAAGAATAAGAAAATTATTAAAAAAAAGAGAACTATAGAAGAGAAAGAAAGCATGATGGAAAGATGATGGTTTAGAAAATAAGATAATAAATATATTCAATATTAAAATAAGTAATTAATTGGGACAAAATAAAAAATTTGTCATAAAAATTTAACACAACTTACAAATACTGCCTCTAGTCTTAATTATAAGAGCTAGTTAACTAATTTGAGGAGATTAAGAAAAAAAATTAAATTAGTTATTTGTAACAAATAGGTATTGTCTTTCCTAAAATATCCTTACTAATCAAATAGATTGGCTAGAACTACTATTATTAGAAGGATTACCTTGAAAAAATTTATAAATATGATAGATAAAGTGGATTGGGGTCTTATATTTAGAATCAAAATAAAAATCAAATAAGATCATATATTAAAGACCAGATGTAGTATTACTTATATTTAGGTATAAGAAAGAGATGATAGTTGTTGTTTATATAGGATGGAAGGAGTATATGTATAAATAAATAAGATCAAAGGGGTATACCTGCCTAGCTATAAATTTTTTGACAGATTGAACAAACTTTTCTAATTAATAACTTTTGTTGAGAGTATTTTTAACATAATTTACATAGAATTATTAATAAATATTTATAAACAGGTGAAAGCCATCCAAATAAACAACGGGGCCTATAAAATTAAATTAGTAGACAAGCCTTGCCTCATTATATTCCCGCGGTGTAGCGGTGGCTCTAGCATGATTTTGGTGTCATTTTACATTTAATGAACATGTTGCATGAACTCATTGGCACCTATGTTAGCCAACAACATAGGTGGTTTACTCTACATCTCTCTCTCTCTCTCTCTCCCCGTATAATTTGTTTTTATCTATTTTTCTCTTCTATGTTTCATCTCATTTTCTTCTTCTGCACTAAACGTTCAATTTTCAACATTTTTGAGTAATTTACATTTGATATAAGTCAGGTTTCAATTTCCAAATCTTTTACTATAGTTATTCGTAGGGAGAATTTTTTTGTCTTGAATATAAGTATTTAATAATTGATTTTCAATTTTATTTATATTTAATTCTCGTTAAAAAGAGAGTAAAATATAGATAAAGAAAACAAATTTAACAAAAATAAATTTAAAATTTTTATCAATTTAATATATCCATTAATAATACAAAAAAGAGTTGTAAGTGATTTAGGAAAACTGTTGACCCTTGTTTTGTCAAGCTCATGATTAGGTGTGTCTCCACTTACTAAGTTGCCCAATTTAAGTCCCTATTCTTAATCCTTTTCACTTGTTACGTTGCTCGCAAAATCAATTTTGGCAGCTTAGTGTTCTTACATGTGTTCTCTTCTAGACACAGTCAAGTCAGCCACCCTTATACTCTCCATTTTTCTTAAATCGTCGTTTTAGTGATCTTTTATGCAAAAATAACAGCTCTATTTGTTTATTTTTCCAATGTAAGGGCACGCTTTTATTCTTTTTTGGTAAAAAATGTTTGGCATAAATTTAGGCAAGTGTAATTTGGACCCATCAATTCCTAAATATGGAAATGGAGTTTGGGATATGTCATATTTAAAGGGTCCCCATTCGGTGGTCATCAGGTGATGAGCACTCAATGCTCATCACCTAATGACCAATCTGGACCGTCCAAATCTAATCTATATCCACATTTAATATTATTAAATAATTATTTTAAAATAAAAAAAATTATATTTTTAAAAAATGATAGTTAAAATATTATCTTTATTTTTTATCCTATACATATTAAAATAATTATTTTTAAAAAATAAAAATAAATCTGGACCATTAGGTGCTTATCAAGACTGATAAGCACCCAATGTAAATCCATATTTAAATGAGTGCGCCGTAGAATCTTCTCACCCCTGCGACTGAAGTGATGAGTTGTGCAAACGAATAGTAAAATAATTTCACCATCGAAATATGCTTAGATTTGAATAGCATCAATTTCCTTTTACTTTTTATTTTTCAATTTTATATTATTTTTCCAGAAAAAAAAGAGATTAAATTTCACAAGAATAAAAGGTCGATTTTTTTTTAACCAAAGTCCCAATCAAATTTGTTTTATACTTGGGCATGTTTAATATATAAGAGCTAATAAATGAGTTTGTTTTGGTAGTAAATGTGAGATGAATATACATTGTTTCCCATATTAACAATATTTTTAAAAAAATCTCCTTATTGAACGCACATATTTAAAAAAATTTCATTAATTTGTAACACAGATAATTTAAATAAATACATTGGCAAAAATTGAAATAAATATTTAAAAAAATAGTATATATTTTTATAAATAACTAATTTAATTAATTTTTATAATTCGTATGACTACAGGTCAGCTCCTGCGTTTACAACTAAAAGATGTGTATGAGGATGAGAAATTGAGTTTAAAAAAATGCATTTAAAATGTAAACAAATATATGTATGATTCAACAATCTAAATCTCATGTAAATATTTGACACCATATATATATATATATATATCATTTTTTGGGTACAAATATATACTACTTTCAATCTTTAATATAAGAGCTAGTTAATTAATTTAAGTAGATTAATAAAACTAGTTAAGTTAGTTATTTGTAATAAATAAGTGTTGTCTTTCTTAAAATATCGTTATTAATCAAATGTATTGAGTAGAATTATTATTATAGGATCTTATATTTTTTAAATAAAATAAGATCTTATATTTAAAATCAAAATAAAAATCATATATTAAAAATAGGGGGAATTATCATTTATGTTTCCACACGAGAGAAAAATAGGTAGGCCGAAGATGCACAAGAGATTTAAAGTGCCTGCCCGGCCCACATGATCTTTTCCTTGATTCCTTTTTTAACATTTTCGAAGACTTTTTAGTTGCCATTTGCCTTAGTGGGGTTAATAATTTTTAGTGGAGGGGCATCAATGAACAGAGTTGGAGAAATTCCCATGGAATAAACTAGAAGAATAAAAGTGATGCAATTATATCATATAAACCAATTCGGCTCACTGAATAAATTAGAATGATGAGAATATAGTAAAATTAATATCAATAGCATATAGAATACTCCTCATATCCTTAATATAGGACTTAATTCTCTAGTTGGTTTTGATACTAAATATAAGACTCATTTCTCATATTTATCAATTTTCTTTATATAATATGGCTTCTTTTTTATTCATATAATCATACAACGTGTTCCAAGATAAAGAGACTTGGAAATTACTGACATCGTCTTAAAATTTAAAAAACACAGTCCATCTAAAAATCAAGTACCAAACATAGCATAAAGATTCAAATTATCAACTATTCTTTCAAAATTCAGCATTTGTATATTCAGTTAAAAATGTTGGAAGAATTAATATAAATAACTTTTTCAATTGAAAAATATTCCAGTCGAGGTTTTTAAGATTTCCGCTTCAACTTTTAGGATTTTTCAAGTGAAATTCCCAACTTATAATGTGAATAGAAATATGCTTATAATCATGTCATCAAAAGAAAAAAGAAAAAAGAAAAATGCTTATCAATTAATTTTCCCCCAAAAAGTGTCCATAAAGAACTGATTTAAAATTTTAAAATCCGAAATATCATAAATATTTTGATTTGATTCTGAATTGTCGCCTTACCAAATAGATGTGAAATAAAAGCAGGTGACAACCTCAGTCCCAAAAAACAAAGTACGTGACAACCACCACCACACAAAATTGAGTCGCTATAGAAGTATAGAGAGCGTAAGAAACCATTAACTTTGATTTGATTTGGAATAGGGAAACATTTGTCGTTTCTTCCACCTCTCTATCTCACACAAACACAGACGTTGGAAGAATTTGTTGAGTGTTAAATAAATAAACAAAAATAAAAAAGTAATATTCATAGATTATTATCAATGAAGTTCATTTCTTATATGGGCCCATGATTAAAACTTGACCTAAATTTTGATTTGATACAACTAAGTTTTTATGGATCTGGCTCCATTAAGAGTCAATTTCTAAATTTTAACTTGATGTAATTTAACTTTTATAATTTTAACATCTTCTGTCCCTACATTTCAGAAAACAGAATTATAAGTGTTAAATTTATA